TTAAGGCCCAGTACGGTCCGTTAAAGCCCAATACGGTTCATTAAGGCCCAATACGGTTCGTTAAAGCCCAATACGGTTCATTAAGGCCCAGTACGGTCCGTTAAAGCCCAATACGGTTCATTAAGGCCCAATACGGTTCCTTAAGGCACAATACGGTTCATTAAGATACAATACAGTTCATTAAGGGCCAATATGGTCCATTAAAGCAAATACGGTCCATTAAAGCCCAATACGGTTCATTAAGGCCCAATACGGCCCATTAATCTCCAATACGATCCATTATGGCCCATTAAGATTCATTAAGGCCCAATACGGTTTATTAATGTCCAATACGGTTCATCAAGGCCTAATACGGTTTATTAAGGCCCAATATGATCCATTAAAGCAAATACGGTCTATTAAATCAAAATACGGTTCATTAAGGCCGAATATGGTCCGTTAAAGCCTAATGTTCGTTAAAGCCCAATACGGTTCATTAAGGTCCAATACAGTCCGTTAAAGCCCAATACGGTTTATTGAGGCCCAATACCGTTCATTAAGGCACAATACGGTTCATTATGGCCCAATACAGTTTATTAAAGCAAATACGGTCCGTTAAAAGCCAAATGGTTCATTAAGACCCAATCCGATTCATTAATATCCAATACGATCCATTAAAGCAAATACGATCTACTAATATTTTTTAACGATCCATTAAAGTCCAATACGGTCAATTAATGTCCAATACGGTCCGTTAAAGCCCAGTAAGGTTCATTAAGGCCCAATACGGTCCATTAAAGGCCAGTAAGATCTATTAATGTTTTTTAATTTTTAAAAATGATTTTTCTTTATTTTTTAATTTTTTTTTATTATTTCTCCACCGGAAATCCGCCGGAAAAGGTAGAAGTTTTTTTAATTTCTTAAAAATAAATTTTTTAAATATATTTCCGGCTGATTTTTTTTAAATCATTATTTTCCCGCCGGAAAACATTAAAAGATTTATTTTTTATTTTTTTTCTAAAACTATTTCCGGCGGATTTATTTTTTTGAATTTTTTTCGCCGGAAAATGTTAAAAGGTTTTTTTTTATTTTTTAAAAATTATTTTTCTAAAATATTACAGGCGGATTTCCGGCGGAAAATTTAAAAAAAATTAAAAAAATAAATCCGCTGGAAAATCTTTTTTAATTTTTTTTTCAAAGATTAATTAATTTTAAAAGATTAATTAATCCTTAATTAAGAAATCCGCCGATAATATAACCACTTTAATTTTTCCGGCGGATTTCCGGCGGATGTCAATAAAAGTTGACTTTTTTAACGTCCGTTGGAAATCCGTCGGAAAAATTCCACCAAAAATCGTCCGTCGGAAAAGTCGCTGGAAATGTCCAGTTTTCTAGTAATGTAAAGTATGTTAAATAAAAATTTATAAGGATGTAAATTGTGTTAAAAAAATAATGATTAGGAAGAGGTATAATGAACATAGAGGCATATATGACTCCTTTTAGAATTGTTATATTTTCTTCTTAATAACTAAATAAACTGAATAATAATTAAATAATAATAAAATAAA